TTGATCGCGCCTTTGTGTAACAACGCTTCGATTTATTCGCTTACTAACTTGCAATTCTGCAACGACGGGCGAGGAACAGTATTTTGAATAGGAGGACTGTGAAATTGAATTTGATAACCTTGAACGATTTCTAAAATGGTAGGATCTTGTGTTATATTTAGCCAGTTTTTTATGCATGAAGAAAGGAAGGCGCCCCGTTAGTGGGAGCTGTTGTTTTGAGGTTGTTGTTTTGCTTGCCTCGAAAGGGCTGCTGCTGGAATTGAAATCTGCCCTTCGCCTGACGAGGGTAGCGATTTGGGGCGAAGGGAGCCAGGCGAAATTTTTCGTTTTTTGATTGGTACTTTTTCAATTGTGGTTTCGACCACGAAGATGTTTGTGGGTGCTGTTGATTTAGATTTTTTATAAATTTCTAACAATGTCAGCACTATCAGCTGCTATTTCCGTAATGTCCTCGCCAAACAAATGCTTTCCTGCGTTTGGAAAAGGGACTTCTACAAGCGAAATCTTTGCCGGATTTATAGCATATAGAATCTTAGTTCTACGCAACACCGAAAGGGAATTTGCTGCATTCCCTATGCAAACAAATGACCCGTTCAACAAGGCTTAACATTTGATCATGTGATAATTCTTGTTTGCTTTCTAGCAGATCATGGAGGGCTGTCAATGGAGCCCCCACGTTTAGGGCATGTCTCTGAACCTTTATCAGTTCTTTATCACGGTTTTCAACCGACTTTTTATAATTTTTTTTTAATTTGATCCGCGATAGGTTTATCGAGTTTTGGCGTTGTAAACACGTCTAAATCAGGAAGAGACGTTTCTTCCAAAATACTAAAAATTTGTGATGAGGAGAGACTGCGACGAAAATTCGTCTCTAAAAATTATTTAAATACCGTAGAAGGCTCCCAACTAGGAGCTTCAGCCACAGGATCAAACGGTAAGTGCTTTGCACTACCCTGTCTAGGCTGGGCTTCAACTTCGGAAAGGTTCTTTCCGCCATCGCCATTGTTGTTTTCTGATAAACAAGTAGTGTCATTGTTATGACCTTGGGTGAACGATTTGCTCGTTATGTTTCCAACTTTGTGGCTAAAATTGGGGTCCAGGATTACTGGACTATAACTTTCTATCTCTGCGTCCGGTGGGACAGCAATAGAAAACTGATTTGAGATATCTGTTGGTTCACTCAGGACAATTTGTGTCATCTTGTTCGGCTGCCATATTGCCGGTGTCTTTGACCCGCGCAGATTCAAGGCTTGTCATGCGTTCGTTGAGTTTCTCTACTGTAGAACTGATCATAGTCATAGACATTTTGTTTAAAAGTTGTTCTAGTATCGGGGAGTTATCTTCCCCAGGATTTGTAGGTGAATTCGATCGTCGACGCTTCTTAGATCTTTCCGATCGATGCCGTGATTTGGCAAGAGATTTTGAAACGTCTTTACTTCTTGATCGTGAACGTTTTCTGCTAGAACTCATCCTAGACCAACCGTATACGTTGGGAAAATATAAATTTCGATTCACTGAAAGAAAAAGGAAAGGTAGAAAAAACTAGGTCTAGGATAAAATTGCACTTAGCTCCTTCGAATTCGCACATTTGAAAAAAGTCGAAGATCGTAACCTGGGGTGATCTCTTATATGGTGCTTACTACCATTTATGGGTTGGGGCTTTCCGTGCTTTCTTTTTTCTCACCCAGTGCTTTTAATATGTGGCTCCTTCGCCAGTTGGACTACGTCATAATATTCCATACATTTCGACCGGAGAGTGTGAAGTATAATTGGGAGTTGTTCTGACAAAATTATCTAGCCATTATCCAGTACATTTATTCATCATTCTTGTATTAATCTCTAAACAAAAACATTTATTTTAGAAAGCAAAGTGACAATGTAGTGAGGGAGGGTGGGGATTCTTTTATTAGCATTTGAAAATGTTTATAAACATTTTGTTTACTGTCGTTCTAATTGAAGTGTTCCTCAAATATTGATTCAATACATTACCTCGGGCTGACCAATTCATTTCATCAAGTTCCTCGAGATATTCATACACTTCCTAGTACCAAAATGTATAAGTATGACCAGAAATGATCAAATACCTGGAATTGGCTCTTTCACAGGAAGTGTATGAATATCTCGAGGAACTTGATCAAATGAATTGGTCAGCCTGAGGTAATGTATTGAATCAATATTTGAGGAACACTTCAATTGGAACGACAGTAATTAACTCTAATAAGACTAATATGTATAAAAACCAAAATGTATAAGTATTTTAACTGATAACATCTTAACATTTGCTCTAACACTACGTTTGATGACAACTTAGTTGGACTGCTGTTTTGAACAGAGTTTATACAGAAATACAGGACCAGGATTTAATTCAATATCTCCTGAGAACATTAGTTTCCTGTGATATTGTTCATTGGCAAAATTGCCTGTAGACTTGGTTCAAGTCCGTCTCAGGAGAAAATTAGGGAGAGACGGACTTGGGACATTCGCAGCATTTCGAATGTTACTTGCAAAAATTGGCGTGAACATTTGTTGTTGTTGTCAACTCGCAAGCCACGCCTCCGTAGGAAAAATCCGACGGTAAAATTTGGCGCGCTTTCAGGGTATCCAAGTCCGTCTCTCCCTACTTTTCTCTCATATTTTCGCGCCTTTTTTGACCGCTCTCGTGCATCGCTAGTATTTTCAACCCCTTGAGAGACGGACTTGAACCAAGTCTATATTGCCTGCTATATTTTGACTGTTTAAAATATTGCAGAATGATTGTTTTACTGTATAAATGTATATAATAAAATATGTGGTATTTGACTACTTACCAGAGGAGGATAAGTTTCCACGTTGATAGATGGCTTCGGAATAATATCGCAAGTAGAATGGAGAAAACAAGACAAATTCAGGATATTTTTGAGGCCAAAATGTGAAAATGGCAAAGAATAACACGAGGCCAAACTATGCCCGTTCGCAGGTTAGATCGCTATGTGCTAACATACGCGCTATGTGCTAACTTTCGCTATGTGCTAACTTTTGAATCGCTATGTGCTAACATACGGTACGGTAACAGTACGTTTGCGATAGCATATATATCTGCTTCGCAGATACAAAAACAGGGATGGATTTACTGGAGGGTGCGGGGGGGGGGGCGGCTGCGCACCCCACCTAGCCCTGGCCAGAGGGGGTGCGGGGGGGTGTGTGCTATTTTTCATGATAAAGCAAAAAATTATTAGAGGCAAAATGAGATACAGTAATTTGAGTAATAACATGATGATAAACGAACTGTGAACAACAATTACAATTCAAATACAGTAGTCAAGCAAGACTTTGCAGTAGTGAAGCAAGTTGATAATGTGTGTATGATGCGGTGATTCTTATTGTTAAATACTCAATGTGCGGGGGGGCGAAGCGAACGCCGAAGGCGCGAGACCATCTAGGGGGGTCCGGGGGCATGCCCCCGCCGGAAATTTTTGAAATCTAGAGTTCCTGAAATGCGATTTCAAGCATTTTGGGGGTGAAATCTTGCAGAATTCCGAAGATTATAAAGTACATCGAAGACATAATTTTCCCAGACATTTCTAATTTTCTACTCGGAATTAAATAAATTGGAAAAGTCACATTGCCGGACTGAACAGGAGGAGCCGGTCAGCGTCACCTTATTTCCCCTCTGTGATGCTGGGGGAAGAAAATCCCAATGTGATTTTGATCAGAAATGTTGCATTTAAATCATTCTAGGTTCTATGAGACAGCATTTCCGCATGCTCAAAATTACGATACAGAATAAGTCTGAGAAGAATATTCATGCTATGATAATGCATGCATGTAAATCTACACTAAACCTATTCTTCTTGGAACCATATCTACAACAGCTTTAACGAGATTTTACAAATCAAGTTCCTCCAGTATATCATCGTTTTCCTCAGTCGAGACATACTTAATCAGTTTCAGCTTCGAGGATGTAACGTGTACCCCCAATTTCTCTACGGATTTAGCCTTTTTCAGAGAATTTGTTTTTTTTTTCGATTGGGGGGGTCGCCCCCCCCCTCGCCTACGCCATGTGCGTTCATACTCTTCTAATCTACGACAATAAAACTCTGGCGAGTCACTGATGAGTGCGATTTGGTTCAGCATTTCTTATTAAATAAACCAATTCACGAAAAAAAGTTTTCTGTATTTGAAAGCCAAATGCGTGGTCCAAGACACGCCATGTTGTATGTCGGCGCGTCGCTCTACTTCCGTTTTTCCAATTTATTTCCGCTTCCTCATCTTTTAGTTGTATTTACTTCCGTAACCTCATCTTTTAGTTGTATCGGTTTATCTTTTGGTTGTATCGGTTTATGACATTGATGTATTTGCATACAACATCAATGTATAGCACATGTGTAACATCAATTTATAGCGCATAAACTGGATACCGATACATTTCAGATATTTTGTGCGCACTGCGCTAAAAAACTTCATACGTAAAGATGCGAATGTGCATTCATTATGGCTACACAATAAATCGCTTGATACGTCGCTTGATAGTCAGGCGAACTTTATACGCATTTACGTTTATCAACGCATTTTTATTTAAGTGAATACATATGTACGTTTGCTGAGCTGCCTATGGAAAAATTCAAGATGATACTGATAGCTTGACAAGCTTGTCCCCGAGCGACAAGTAACGCATGCGCGTGGCTCACTGATTACTTGTTAGGAGAATTTCAAAGTTGATCTGTTGAAAAAATATTTACTACTTATATCATAAAAGAAATAGAAAAACTCGTCTCGTGCGTTTATGGTGTGCATATGTTATGCTACACGTGGTCTGCTACATATGCGTTCTCGACAAACGTGTAAAACACTCGGCTACGCCTCGTCACGCTTCCCCTCGTTTACTGAACCAATAACAGACAAAAACAGACAGATAATATTACAATGTCTGTTAGAAAGATATTTGAGAACTTGGTCTAAAAAATATAAAGAGAAAATTAGAGAATTAACTATTTATCTGTGGAAGCTCTCAGAAATTCTCATCTAGATCCTTCAACTAAGACAGTGCAACCATGCATTGAAAAATTCATTATTTGGTACAGCAGGTGACTAACTTTTAACAAAAGCAACAACACATGAGAGACGTAATTTAATACATAAAATATGTTTTTGTCTTCTTGATCAAGAACAGAACACGATTGAACCCAACGGACGTTCAACGTTCAAACATGGCTTCCGCTGAACACGGTTATGAAGATGAAAGGTTTAACCACTCTGTAAGCGCACATTTCCACTGTGGTATTTGCTACAACGTATTGAAGGAACCTGTAACTTGTCAAAGAAATGAGCATTACTATTGTCGGGCTTGCATCACTGAACACTTGAAAAATTCGCCAACATGTCCGACATGCCAGGAGGGACTTTCACCAGAAACTATAACTCAAGCACCAAGAATCTTACGAAACTGTTTGGATGAACTAAGTATTCGTTGTGATAATTCCGATAGAGGTTGTCAAGAGATAGTTCAGCTAGCTCAGCTTCAAGACCATGTTGACGTGTGTGGTTTCGCACCGGTGGTGTGCCCAAATGAAGGCTGTCTCGTTAAAGTAAATCGACAAGATCTCGCAGGTCATCAACAAGCATTATGCCAGTTTCGAAAGTGTTGTGATTGTTCTGAATTAAAGAAAGTTGTTCATGAAATCAATGCGAACACAAATGATGTGAACAATCAAATGAAAGATCTTAAGAGTTTGAAAGATATAAATGAAAGCTTGGTTGCTGTTAAAGAGGAAGTATCGAAAACAAGAGAAGACACAAACCAAGTGTTACATCGATTGGAAGCATTAGAAGAGCAGGTTCGAGCTACAAAAGAGACGCAAGAAGCAATGAAAGAAGCACAAAGTTCAAACAACAGCGGCGAAACATACCAACCTCAAAATATTCTCGTGGCAGGAGGACGTAGAACTGATTTCGGGGAGATGAAACTCGTGGAAATATTTAACCTGTCAGGAATGTCGTGGTCACCGCTACAACAAATGAATGAAAGTCGTGTTGGAGCCTCGGTATTTATGTCCAATGGTGAAATCACCGTCGCAGGTGGCAACACAAACCACGGTCCAACCGAAACCTTGACGAAGATATCTATCAGCCAAGATATGAAAAGCGCATCGTGGTCCGAGGTCGCAATACGACTTCCAACAATGTTATATGGACACACCAGTGTGCTTTATGATGGAACTTTAGCACATATCGGTGGATGTAATAAGAATAAAAATGTTTCAAAGAGCATATATAGAGAAAATGTAGTCCGGGCACCAGGATATGGTTTTCTACCATACTCAATGCCAGATCCTAGATGTTTCCATGGAACTGAAGCGTTTGATGACAAGGCTTTCATTTTTGGAGGACAAAGCTCTGCTGAACGCAACAGTTGTCTTGATAGCGTCATTTCACTTGGCCTTAAAGAGAGGCAAACAAAACAATTGGCATCCCTACCTTACCCGGTGAGTGAAATGGCAACTGTACGTTGGGGTGATAACGTGATCCTCATTGGAGGTGCTGACCAGTATGGCAAACCTTTAGCTACTGTTGTTATCTACAATATCAAGACAGAAAGATGGCATATCCTACCATCAATGAATGAGAAAAGAAAGGCATGTTCTGCAGTTGTTGTTCAGGATATGATTATTGTCATGGGAGGACGAACACAGAACAACACTTGTCTTTGTTCTGTTGAATGTTTCACCTTCAAGAATTACTCGTGGCAGAATTTTCCCGCCATGATTACAGCGCGTGAGCGAGCTGTAGCAGTCGCATTCTAACTGATTTGGAAAGCTATGTTTTAGTACATTGAAAATATAATATCAACAGAAAGTACGGTATGAATAGTTTTTGAAATTATTATTATAGTTGAAGACAAATTATCACAAATATATTATATTATATAAGCGACAAGGCTTTCTTAAAAATGGAAAATACAAAGACAAAGTTTGAAATTAGTTGGGAAAATGCAGTTTACATTTGTAGAAAAGTACATCTACTGTAGTACAGTAGTTAGTATTATAAATTTGATAGTATTTCTATGAATTATGTACTTCTATATTTACAAGGAGGTTATATTACATATACGATGTAGTCTTTCATATTAATAACATAGATCTTTAAGACTTTAATTTAAATTAAACTGCTACTGATTTTTGCACTTGTAATTTTAGATTTAATTATCACTTGAAAATGAAACCTGTGGTAACATATTAGTTAATATGATTCGATCATAATATTGTTCATCTTTCATATTAAGTTTTTTTCTCTTCACTCCCACACTTTCGGTCAAATGTACAATCCCCCAATACGATCATGTTTCCCAATTCTCAAAATGATACAAAGTCCGTTTTCAAATTTTTTTCTTAAAATTCCATACCCCAGACACCTTATGTAAAGTAGGCTAATAACTTGAAACAAATAATCCAATGCAAGTGTTATAATTATTTATTATACTTAAATTTATTCAGTTTTGACACATACATTTTTCAGTTTAAAAACAATAATTTGTGACAATGACTTTCTAATACAGACAACCAAGGAACATGGTAAAGTGTCTGCATTAGAGAGTGGTGTCTGCTTTATATGAGAATTACATATGTTGAGATATTGGACACTAGCTGTCTGTATTAGAGAGGTGTCTATATGAAAGAAATGTCTGTAAAGCAGACATAAATCTTTTATAAAGTGCTCACAGGTACCTTTTCAAAAAGTGCTCAGCTTCTTAAAAGGTGCTCACAGAATCTGTGCATATGCAGGAAATTTTAACATTCTGACATTATCACTGATTTAGCTCACAGAATCTAAAATAAGATGCATTTTTGTAGGCTTTTCAATTTAATGAGCCCTGAGTAGATTTTGAAATTGACCATTTGAAGATCAAATGATATTATTTAATTATTTTATGTCTCTTCAAGACCCTGTTCACAGGCTAGTGTCTCTCAATTGTGACATAACCCGCACAACCTCGGAACTGAAGATCAGCAAACAAACACAGCAATCACATATGCTATATGGGCCTGCGCTGTAAGGAGAGGTTTGGCTGTATTAGGGAATAAGAGATTGATTGGAGACTGTTTAGTTTTTCCAGGACAGGGGGGCAACTGCCACCTCCCCCCCCCCCCAATTCTGGAAAACCATGGAAATTCAGGCAAATGCTAGGAAAAATCAAGAAAATTTGGGCAGATTTATCAGAAAATAGGTTAATTAAATTCAGGTACCGGTAATTTCATTACAATCCTCCATAAAAATTCGAGCAAACTTTCAACTCTGAGAGCATCAGCCCCGTACGCCTATGTTTCCAGTTATTATAATCGCAGCAGTTTTTCTATTACAGGAACCATGAAGATCTCAAAAGTAGAAGGTATATTGGACTATTTCGCATTGTTTAAAGCACCAATAACACCACAAAAATACAAAATAGATCTGGTCTTCACTAAAAAAATAAAATTAGTCCAGAGAGACCAGATAGTAGGTAACATTACCAATTAAATGGAATTGTCTAATGTCCATGCAGAGCTAGACTGGTAATGTGACCAAATGGAATAGTAGGTTATGTGACAGAATGGAAAAATAACACACTTGCAGTACAATTTCCATCTATTTTTTGGAATCTGTTTAATTATTTTCCATCAATTAAATCAGGAGCAGATCTATCGAGGGGTGCAGGGGGGTGTGCACCCCAACTACAGGTAGTGGTGTGTACCAACCCGTTAGATAAATCCAGCACCACCCTAAAAATCTGCTAGACCATACATTTTCTGCTTTTCGAATAGTGGAACTTCTACTGTTAGCGTGTGTTGATTTCTTGAAACAATTTATTATAATTGATTTGTGAGCTCATGAGAAAACACTCAGAATGCTTTAAAGTTAAATATCATGGTTATAAATATGTAAATTAACATGAGGTTGTATACAGCCATATTTTCAAATATACTGTACTTGAACAAGCAAATTTACTGTACTAGCTGTGCAATGGCAACTGTCCAATCATGCATGTGATAAAAACTGATATAAACTATGTGCTGTGGGCAGTAAGTCTCCCTCGCACATGCCCCATGGAAAACCTACACCCCTTCCCAGTTCCCACTTAGGGGCTGTTTACATGAGCCTGGCTAGCCAGGATGAGACGTTTGCCGGGCTGAAATGTATGCTGACGAAAATTGGCAGGGAAAACCTTGTTTACGAGTTAACGCTAGTGTAATGTCGGTCAAGTAGGGATGTGCCAGATACTGTTTTGCCGGATAGTACCGGATAGTCTACCGGATACCAGTCAAGAGAAAATGATGACTGGATACCGGATAATAACCGGATAATAACCAGATACTCCCATACAATAATTTATTAGAAACACAACATTTTTATAGCTTAATTAACTAGTCCAATGTGGCAATGTGTTTAATACAATAACTTCAACTTCAAGAGTTTTTTGTCTCTTTGACCTATTTGTCTTCATCAAGGCCATATCTTATGATTCATCTTACATTATTTACTAGTAATCAGTATATAAAATTCACTGCTGTTGGCGAACGAGCAGTTCACATCACCATCACAAAAAAAAATATGTCGTAATTTCATCGTAATGCAGCGCACGCTCAGAAATTGTTTGTGTTTCACAATTTGTAAGCGCCAAGTAAACTTTTCCGTTTCATGATTGTAACAAAATATCTTACATTACTATCCGGTAAATATCCGGCAAGATTAATTGAAGAAATAAAACTTTATCAAGAAAAATATCAGTTTCTGTCTTTAATTTTTGTTTTAAATGAAATTTTTGTTCTAGCCCGGTTGCCTGGACTGGATACTGTACATGGAGAAATTTCAGCCCAGCTGACCGGGCGCCCTGTTTGAGTCAAGTAGGATCCCAGCTAAACGGGCTGGCCCAGTTGTCATGTAAAGTAAAAAAAATTGTTTTGTGTTGGAAATTACTATGCATGAAGCCGGGCACACCAGCCCGGCAAAACATGCTGCAGGCTCATGTAAACAGACCCTTAATTTAATAGCTAGCCTGGGGTGGACAGGGAAGACATTCCGAAGACTGGGCATTTTATACATGGACTCATGGTGCATATAAAGGCCCAAGGGCTTCATAGAGGATTTTATACCATAAATATTTACCACTTTCTTGAATATAATTGAATCTACTGATTGGACCTTGTGAATCCTCTCAACATGATTTGTCTGATTTGGCCATGTGAATCTCACTGAATCGACGAATTGGTCTTTCTACAAGGCCCTATAAAATATATAAAGCGATTAAAGCCTCTCTTATTTCGCTCAACCACCACGGATTATAGAATTCAGAACAGCATATCAGACATACTATATCATAAACACTTTCTGTCTTTCCATTGGTTCCAGTAAAAGCAAAAGGCCGAAAAGTACAATGCATGTATACGCAGGTACTACTTTAATAAATTATATCACAGTGACACAGTTATTCACTTAATATTCGCTGCTTTTAATTTAGCGGGAAATTCTAAATTTGTTGCTAGGCAACATTTGACCAATCAGAACTCATTATTTGTTTGTTTCTATAATTAGGAAAAGAAACATGTCTGCCACTTGTTATCGAACTTATGGAAGTATGGCTTTCTGTTAGATTTAAATTGCAATGCCATCGATGAAAAATAGTAAAAAAGTTCGTCCCTCTACAGCGTCTGGTTTACTACAATCTAAAGAAGTCAACCATGTTCTTGATGAGCTTCGTCCCACTACAGCACCGGGAAAAACTCAAACTGGTTTTGATCCGACATTTCTCACTTCACGCCATCATGTTCCTGGAACATTGACTTCATCCTCAATTAAAGGACGTCAAGTTCACGGTGGAATACCAGAACATGACTTGAAGGGAGTGCTTGGAAGAAGAGCAACACTTTCTGAGCTGGATCATGACAAGGTTAAACGTCCTCTGACAGCTGCTGGTCAAAAATTGACACAGAAGGTATGATTCATAAGTTTAAGTTGCTTTCCCCGTTAATTAATTCCCTGTGCCAGTATTTAATTACACAACAGCCAGAATGATTTTCTCCTGAACAAAATATTCTGAAGTTTATATTTGTGTTTGGCATGCTGCCTGTCACAGCGTGAAAATATCACATTGTGTTTGGATCCGGTTACGAATGGCACATAGCGTAGCAACGGATGTTGGCAATGCCTGCAGTGTGACAAAGAACAGACACAAAAATATGACTCTTCAGTATGGCATATTTGAAATGACACAACTATAAATGGCGCCAGAATCGAACACGAGTGTTCTTGGACAGGGAGAGAATAAGAAGAACGATTTCTTTGGATTTTTTCCCAGCCTTTTCGTAAGAAGTTGAAATATCATCTTTCATTTATAATATGTTTTGTGTTATAAAACAAAGTCAAATACTCAGCTGAATTTAATTATAATGTAGCAATTACCTGAAGCAACATTTCTGTTGCTGTTTACTGCATTACATAATAGTTGCGGTCCCTTGTCTGAAAACACATAATCTACTGTATTATATTGTGAAGTTTCGAATTTAAATAATTGGCAGGAATGGGTGCTCAACTTTGAAGCTAACATATGGTACACACCTGACACCCTGCTTTGTTTATTAACTTCATTTAAAATACTGGAAAGAACAGATTCAATAAGGTGGAATTAATAGTAGCAAACTAAGAATTTTTGAAAAACTTATTTCTTTTTTTACTATACTTATTACTTTTTTTTACTTGTCTAATGCCAGAGAATCTTGTTTGTCAATGGGGAAGCTTAATGGGTTAACCAAAAAATCTGACAATGTCTCTAGTTAACCCATTGAGCCACAATACGCCCCCAGTGTGCCCTACTTTTTTTTACTTGTCTAACACCAGACGATTTTACTCGTCAATGGGGAAGCTCTGCAGCTTAATGGGATGTATAATGTAATGTAGACTTGTAGTATTAGTTTTAACTGGGTATCCTGTATATCAAATTTGCAGTGGCGTAGCCAAGGGGGGGCGACCGCCCCCCCCCCCACCCCCCAATCGCAAAAAAAATTCTCTGTAAAAGGCTAAATCCGTAGAGAAATTGGGGGGGGGGGGCTACACGTTACATCCTCGAAGTTGAAACTAATTAAGTACGTCTCGACTGAGGAAAACGACGATATACTGGAGGAACTTGATTTGTAGAGTCTCTGTAAAGCAGTTGTAGATATGGTTCCAAGAAGAATAGATTTAGTTTAGATTACATGTATGCATTGTCATAGGCGCATAAATATTCTTCTCATATAAAAAATTTATTCTGTATCATATAAAAAAGCAACGCAATTTTGAGAATGCGGAAATGCTGTCTAATAGAACCTAGAATGATTTAAATGCAACATTTCTGATCAAAATCACATTGGGATTTTCTTCCCCCAGCATCATAAAGGGGAAATAAGGTGACGCTGACCGGCTCCTCCTGTTTTTCAAGGTGACTTTTCCAATTTATTTAATTCCGAGTAGAAAATTAGAAATGTCTGGGAAAATTTAGGTCTTTGATGTACTTTATAATCTTCGGAATTCTGCAAGATTTTAAATTATCTAGGGACTCTAGATTTCAAAATTTTCCCCTTAGATGGACCCCCTAGATGGTCTCGCGCCTTTGGCGTTCGCTTC